GTGTGGCCAGGCCCCAGCAGGATTAGGAAGGGTTCCCCCCAAACCTCCTTGATAACAGAGCTTTTGTACTATGTTTTTTTGCATATTAGTCATTACGTTTAAATGATAATAGTATTGAATTGATCAACCTCTATGTTTGTATGAACAGCTAAAACTCCATTTTGTGCTTGTTCCCTGCTTGACATGAGTAAATGAACTTCATATGTCCTATGTAAGTGAGTGTCTGTCTGAGAGGGTGAATGGTGAAATAATGTTAAGTATTTGCATGAAAACAGAAGAAGATTTCACTGATTGTGTAAGGAACAAGGTGCCAATGTATGAATTACCAGACAGTAAACTAATTAAGCTAATTAATGAATGGCTGAAGAACTCATCTGTGATCAGGTGCGAAGAAGATAGTAAGAAGAAGGAATTTTGCATATCCTGCCATTTGAACTACACAATGCTTCAAGGCAGAGATACCAACTCAGAGCTAGCAACTTTACTGGAATGATCTCATCAGAGATACCAACTTTACTGGAATGACCTCAAGTTGACATAAACAGAAGAAACAACTTCTAATTAAGAACTGAGCATGGAAAAACCCCAATGTTGAACAAAGACTTGAAATCCCTATAAAAGTGAAATGCAGACAAGCCAAGATAGGGAATCTATTCTTTGTTACCTCCTGGAGCACAGGCACGTCTGTTTATGTCCGCTCATCACCCTCAATGAGCCTAGACTGGCCATCCAGTGCTAACATTCTACTGGTAACTATAACTTCTTACTGGAGTGGTTTTGTTTGTATGTCAGTTTGAATGTATGCTTGTGTATGTCTGTTTGTATGACTGACGTGTGCAAGCTTATGTTTCTGCTTCATGTAATTAATAAATGTGGCATTTTGCCTTATCCCCCTTTATAAGTACTCCCTCCTAATTTGAGCAATTGGCAATTTAAAGTAACACATTTACCAGCTCTGTTATCAGCATTTATCACCCCACCAGAAACCAACAGCCTCTCTCATTAATTCATCTCTTCTTAAACAAAGAAAGATTGGAGGGACATTACTATCTGATCTTTGATTAGCTCCAAAAAGCCCTAAGCCAATATTGTTGTTTGCCACAGCACAGACCATAGCCAGCATGTGGTCTGCTAGCTAATGCTGAGAGGTGTCTGTGTAAGACAGAGGTGATGGAGGATCCCTGTTAACAGGGAGTGGGAAGGGGAGGGGGAAAGCAGGAGGAAACCAGTCAGATCTTGCTGTGCCTGCAAGTCTCTGCCAGAGGTCCAGCCAGGGAGCAGAGAGGAGGAGCCAGCCCTGCTGATCATCAGAGAGCCCAGCCCAGAGAGCATGCTGGGATTCTGGGGGACTCTGATTTAACTTAAACCAGCAAGGGGTCTGGGACAGACATTGCACAAACCAATTTGACCCAAATCAGTTAAGTCTGATACTATATTCAACCAGGTTTGTCTCAGACTGGTTTCAGCCATTTTAAGACTGGTTTATATGCACTGAACTTCTGTTCTGTTACAGGTTTAAACCAATTTCTGATCATTTAAACTGGTTTATGTGTAAAGTCTGTCCCTAGCCCTGGTAAGCAGGGTCAGGACTAGGAGCAGTAGTTGTGAGTTGCCACTAGAGACCTGGTGAGCCAGGACAGGCTGCTACCCTTGCTCTACAGGTGGAGGCATGAGAAATCTGGGATACTGGAGGACTTCAACTTGGGCAGCACGTGTGGGAAGTGGCCATGCTTTAATGGAAAATGAATTGTGTAGTGCAGATCAGAGATAATCCTGACCTGCCACAATACAATTTAGAGCCACTTAACAAGTATTTAAAACCACTTTCAGGTGTTATTGTGTGGACAATCCAGGGATTAAGAGGTCCAGGAGTTGCCCAAAATTACTGTGCAACAAGGCCCCTAATGTCCAATATACCGAGGAGACAACCTCCTTTCCTCAGCAGTTTAAGTCAGGGATAATGATGAGATCCTAACAAAGAGCTGAGAATGGGGGCAGAATGATGGAAAGAGAAGGCAGATGTCCCTCTATCAGGTGTAAAGTTACTCAGGAAGCCTGATAGACATGATTTTCCCTCATATTTCCTCTGTTTTCCTTGTAAATTAGGGAAAATGTAGCTCATCTATGACCTTCTAGGATCAGTTCCAGGAATGAGAAGGGAGTTTAATTATTTTATTCTTTCAGTGGCATTACTATGGAGACTACCAACAACAAATCTAACTAATATCAACTGGTGTGGTAGTCTGGTATGGCAAATACAAGTTTGCTTTGACAGGAATTGAAAAAAAATCTTTTCATATCAAGGAAGGAGCTATCATGTGTTGACTTGGTTTTCAAAATCAGTGTTTAATATTAATCTATTCAATCAGTTTAAATATTTTAAAATGTTAAATTTGTATTTGCTGCTTTCAAAGCAATGCAAATTATACCAGTTTTCACTGAAAATAATGAACTGACAGAAAGATAAATGCTGAAATTTGAGGACTATTATCTAATTGGATCACAAGGAATATTGAGATGAATAACTCATAAGATTGTTTTATGAAGCTTCCTTATTGTGTCATACAGCGAATCTTTTAATAGTTTGATATAACCCTTGTGATGGCGACTGACTGGAGAAGAAATTAAATGATTCCCCTGTGATGAATGCAATCTCATTTCATTTAATGCCTTACCTCTAATATCAACTTTCTTCCTGCACTGTAGATCTTTAAATGAGTAGTATTTTTTGCAGGTAAAACTAACTTTCCTCTTCTCCACTGAATTGAAGCTGAAGGATTAGCTAGCACTTCACAACTGATGTTGATGGGATTGCCTTCCCAAGAATAATACATGGTCTGATTTGACACAAATGTTGGAGCATCTGGAAAAAAGGAAATATACAAATATATTAGCTGTTATATTTCATTAAAATATGCAATGTATAAAATATGTAAGCTTTGAGGCTCTGAAGGATATGTGAAATTACTACTCTGTCACTTCATAATATGGATTATTACACTGTCACTTATCATGTAAATTCCAAAAATTCAACAAAAATGTACTTATGTTTGGTGTCCATCACTGAAGTCGCTTCAGAATAATTTACTTATCACAGCTCTCTATAACAAATACTTATGTATGCCATGATGAAAGTCCAGTTGTAGGCCTGAGAACCTGAACATGGAGAGAAACTTCTATCAATCTATCTCCATAGAAGTTTTCAAGTCTCATTCCTCTCTGGTCTAAGCTCTCTTCCTCTATATTCAACCTGCTGGAGTGACTACTCACCAGTGAGTAGGTCTGAAAGTTGTCATACAGCAGATTAAACCCAAAATATCTAGGTTGCCAAATATAATGTCATGAACTTAAATCACTCACTCTGACTTATAAATGTTGATGATTAGTCTAGTCCAAGTCCACTGTAAATTCTTTGGGTGCAGTAACTGTGTTTTTACGATATGTCTCTACAAAATCCAACACAGAACTGAAACCAGCTTAATCAAGTGTGGGTGAAGTGACCTTTCAGTCAACATCAGATGTATTACACAGTAAGAAAAGGATGACATGGATGACAAATTATAATTCTGTGAAAGACTAAAATAATGAGTTAACAACTTTTAGGGAAATTATATAACACTCACACAGGCACAAATATAATATACACACTTGGCAGCCCATTAGGGGCCCTGAAACCAGATTAAAGCAACTGTAAATAAGTGCTAAAAAGGGGCTTCAGGAAAGGTTTAACACTAATTGTGTTTTTGAGATGTACATAGTTTCATAATTTCATAGATTTAGGGTCGGAAGGGACCTAGTAGATCTTCTAGCCCGACCCCCCGCCAGGGCGGGAGAACAACAAAACCCCAAAACAAAAACGGGACTCAAATGAGTCCAGCCAGGTAGGCATCCAGCCTCTTCTTAAAGACCCCCAGGGTAGGGGCCAGCACCACTTCCCTTGGAAGTTGGTTCCAGCTCCTAGCCGCCCTAACTGTGAAGTAGTTTTTGCGGATGTCCAATCTATACCTCCTCTCCATCAACTTGTGCCCATTACTCCTTGTTATGCCAGCGGGCGCTAGGGGAAACAGCGTCTCCCCCAAACCCTTCTGGTCCCCCCTAGTGAGTTTATAGACTGTCACCAGGTCCCCCCTCAGCCTTCTCTTGTGGAGGCTGAATAGGTTCAGGTCCCGCAGTCTCTCACTGTAGGGTCTGCCCTGTTGTCCCCGGATCATGCGGGTGGCCCTCCTCTGGACCCTCTCCATGTTGTCCACATCCCTCTTGAAATGGGGCGCACAGAACTGGACACAATACTCCAGCTGTGGCCTGACCAGCGTCGCGTAGAGGGGGAGGATCACCTCCTTGGCTCTACTCGAGATGCACCTGTGGATGCACGACAAGGTCCGGTTAGCCCTGCCAACCATGACCTCGCATTGTCGGCCCATGTTCATCTTGGAGTCAATAATGACTCCAAGATCTCTTTCTGCCTCCGTGCTCTCGAGTAGGGAGTTCCCCATTGTGTAAGTGTGCTGCTGGTTCCTACTGCCCAAGTGCAGCACCCTGCACTTGTCCGTATTGAAACGCATCCTGTTCCTGTTAGCCCACCCCTGTAACCTATCCAGATCCCTCTGCAATCTCTCCCTCCCTGCTAGCGTGCTCACCTCCCCCCAAATTTTGGTGTCATCAGCGAATTTAAACAGGTTACTTTCCACCCCATCATCTAGATCGCTGATGAAGAAATTGAACAGCGCAGGCCCCAGGACCGAGCCCTGGGGGACTCCGCTACCCACCTCCCCCCAGGTCGAGTATGACCCATCCACCACCACCCTCTAAGTGCTGGGTGTATAAACTCCTTCCATATTTGCCTTTGTGAAATTGCTTAATCTTTTAGTATAATGTTGCTGCTCTTACAGGAATGTATCCTGCTTTGATCAAAAAGTAGAATTGGCATTATTGGGAGTTTTGAGCACAGATCAAGGATGATATATTATTGGTCAAAGATAGCAAAGATTTTTCAGAAATATTCAACTTCCTCAGGGAAGAACCTGGCTCCAATCATGAAAGAAAAAAATATGTCTTCCTAGAATCCTATTTTAGTATGCTCATCTTTTGCCACCAGAAGTCATAATTTAATCAGTGCTAGATTTTTGCAGCAGTTAAATAGTTACTTACATTCAAGATATGGTACTTTTATAACATCTAAAGGGCAGATTTTAGCCTACAAATATTTTTATATAAAGGATACAATAGCAGAGGGGCTGCAGGATTTGACATTTCACATTAATGCAGCTTTTTGAAAGAGAACATTTGCACAGAATCTGTCTGCATTATGATTTGTTAGAGTCAGCAACCCTAAAGTATTAAGCTAGGAACATCAGCCATAGTTGGAGAAATGGGGCAGGACTATGAGAGCTTTCTGGAGGGATACTGAAGAAATTGACATTCATTTCAGGTGGGACAGAACATGCTACAAATCCATGGTACATTCTGAGTAAGCAATTTGCACACCATTGTTTATACTTTCTTAAAATTAGTTTTTTTTGTTTTTTTTTTTACAAGTGAATAGTGAGCTTGTAAAAGGAAAAATAAAAATAAACTACTATCTGGTTTTCTGTTGTGAAAAAAATGTGGCTAGTGATATAATGAACTCTACTTTTCTATGGCAATTCTAACAGTTTGGCCAAATTCTGTTAAGCAAAGAAGCGATGTAATTTTCCGCATGTACACACATTTTGGAAGACTAAAATTTTCCTAAGATTCTTTGTTTTTTAAAAACATAGCAATATCCAAATTTTAAAGATCTGCTTTTTTAGTTTATATAAGTAACCATGTCTTATGTTCAAGGTACTTATACATGTTTAGTAGGGGTGCATGAAGTGGGCCCTATTCGATTTGGATTCAGCCCAAATCAGGGACAGTGGTTCTATTTGTTGATTCGGATTACTGTCCCTGATTCAATTTGGCTGAATCTGAAGAGAATCAGTGATTTGGACACAGATACAGCTTTAAATGTTTTTCTACATACCTCGAGGTACCAGCATGGCTAACGAATGCTAAGATGCTGGGGCGGATGCAACATCCCACATGAGTGTGGGGGGACCTTCCACATGCTCAGCAGCAAATCCAGAAGTGGACCAGAAGTATTTCTGGTCCACTTCTGGATCCACCAGGGAGGGCGCATGGGGGCCCCTGCCCCCCCAGTTGGCATTGGGCCATGGGGGGACCCTAGGTGCCCCCCTAGATCCAGGAGGCACCAGTTGCCAAGATGGCAGGCTGCCGGGGGGGGGGCTGTGTGCTCCCTGGCAGACCCAGAAGTGGATTGGAAGCACTTCTGGTCCACTTCTGGGTCTGCTGCTGAGCACGCTGAGGAGCCCCCCACACTTCTGTGGGACATTCCATGCGACCCAGCATCGTAGCACTCACAAGCCGTTTGCTACCTAGAGGTATGGAGAAAAAACATTGAAACCTGTGTCTGTACCCGAATCACTGAATCTTTCCGAAACTCTCTGAATCGATTTGGAGGGTTCCAATTTGATTTAGAGAGATTAAAGTGTCCTCTGATTCAATTCAGATTCAGAGATTTGGCTACTGACTTGGGCCGAATCTCCACCAAATCAAATCAGGGACCAAAGCTGCCCACAACCGTAATGTTTAGATGTTCCAGTAAAAGCTACTACACAAAATGATACATGTGTAAATTACACAAAGAAAGAACGTCTTTCAAAGAACCATGCATCCAATATCAATAGTTGGCACTTTCAAGCAAAAATGTTTCTTATTTTTCTCAATGGGCCTCAAAAAAACAGTCATTCTGCTGCCCGTCTTTCAGGTTAACAAATCTTGGATCTAACAATATGACATATATATCAAATTCCAGAGCCATTCATGATCTAACTAGAACATGATTAGGTAGCTATGAGGCAAGGAGGGCCCAACTTTTAAAAAGATTTTAAGAGACTAAAACCAATGCAATATATTGCACCAAAAATAAATTCAGATCATTTGCAGAATGTAAAGCATAGGCATAATGATCATCCTTCCCAAAGTACTCTCAAAATATTTCCAGTAGAGGAAAATTTCCACTGATGTAATAATGAAGCCAAAAGGAGAGCAGATTACAACACAGCTTGCTCAATGTGACAATGGTCTGGATTGATTGAATCTACATTCAGAACAAAAAAGCATGATAGGAACAGGTGCACCCTTATTTGGTTCTTACAGTTCTTTAATTATTTATTTTATTCCATTGTATTTAGAAGGTGCTAGTATAGAATACCTAGTATTTTTACTAGGTCTCTCACAAAGGCTTATAATGCGTTTCTTATAGGAACACTGTGTATGTTGGGGGAAAAATCATTATAAAAATATACACAACAAGGCCAGGTACAAACATGATACTTTTTCTGGTTTAGGGGGGCAGAAACAGGTCTATAGCGGTAACAAAAGTCAAGTTCTTAGCACATAGACAGGTTTCAAAATGGCAGACCCCAGTATAAGATAGACTTGGATATATGTAGTATCAGACTTACTTGATCTTGGTGGGACTGGTGTATTGAATGTCACTGCCAGGTTCACTGCTGAATCAAGGTAGGTCACTGCCCACCAGTATCCCAGGGGACTTTGCGGAACCTCCTAACCACCCCCCATTTTGATGAGCTGTGTCTCATTTCTCCATGAAGCACCTAATTGGCTTGAGCCCTGAGCTTTCTGTCTGACAGCCTGGCAAGACAGAGGCACGAGGGAAGAGAGGGGCTCATGACCTTCTGGGAGGAAGTGGTGCCAGAGGCACACCCCACATTCCCAGCCCAGTTTGGCAGGGTACAGAGTGTCCCTCCCATCCCGTCTGAGCCCCAGTACCCTGCATTACAGCAGCTCTGAGAAAGGCAT